TTCGGTACTTCCTTGCGTGGGGGGTAGGGATAGGGTTCGCATGTGCCCCCCTAGATTTGGCGATCGCGCGCCAAATCCATGGATCGCTAAACCAAGCTTGCGCGCCCCCGACTCTGGCTGGCCACCGCGCGCGGCCAGCGGCAAGCCCCACCCCCTACTTACTGCCTCCCGCTCGGCGCGGGCCCCCGGGAGCGCGAGGGCGGAGGTCTCGCGGCCTGCCGCCTGGGCCTCGGAGGACTCCCGGGCCTCCCAGGCAGGGCTCGTCTCGATGCCTCCGATTCGATTCTGGCTTCGACTTCGAGTCGATCCGACTCGACTTCGGACTCCGATTCGGGCTCCGACTCCCTCATGGAGGCGTGCTGCTCTGCCGCTCTCCGCCGAGTCGGCTCCTCCCCGCCTGGCTGCCGATTTTTGTCGCCGAGCCGATGCGCTTCGATCGCCGAGGCGCCGTGCCGATTCGATTCTGGGCGCTCCCGCCCCCGGGAACTGTGGCAGAGGCCTCCCGCGGCCTGCTGCCGTCGGGGCCTTGGGATCCCCGGGCCTTCCAGGCGCTTCCAAGTGCCTTCTCCGGTGATCTCGGGGGCCTCTCGAGCAGGGGGGTCGACTGCAGAATCGATGCACATCCCAGCGTGGATCTGTGCGTCGAGCCTGCAACACGAGCGCGAAGAATGTTCCCAGAGCTTCGAACCTTCTACGCTCTTGTTTTTGCGGATCCGACGAACAGTTCCAGTTTGGGGGTGCACCCATTCTGCAGCCGATCCCCTGCTCGAGCCTTCCAAGGAGCTCCAGGACTCCAGGAGCGCCCCAGGGGAATCCACCGACTTCCTTGGGGCTCCCAGCTGCCTCCGGAATGCCTCCACGGGGCCACTGATGGCCTGCAAGCGCGCCCTCGCGCGCGTGCGGCAGAGCAGCAGAATGCTTTCTGTGCCCGCCAGTTCTGCGGGATAGGGCTCCTCCCTCCCCCAAGCCCTCCCCCTTTTTTCGCCACCAGTTTTTCTTGTTTTCAATATATATCTATATATATATATATATATATATATATATATATATATATGGGGACCCTCCAATGGGTTGCTGTTGGGCCTCAAGGGAAAGTGGCTCGTTGCTCGTGGTCCCCCGCACGGTGTCCCGTGTGCTCTCCCGCACGGGATCTCCCCCGTGTGCGGACTGCCGTCTATTCTCTCGCGCCTTTGGCCTCCGCCTGCCGTGTGGTGGCCATGCAGTGGTCTCCCGCGGGTGGTCTCCCGTGCTGTTTCGCATGCTCTCCCGCATGGTCTCGCATATGTCGGGCTGGACGAAACGGGGGGGATTGGGAAAGGGGGGGTTACGAAATCTGATGCATGCAGCTGGTTTCGGCCTCGCCGCCGGGCCCATTCCTCAGTACATGGGCGCCTCGCGGCGCCGAGAGGCGCCGGGAAAATCAGCTACGTGAGCTGATTCTCACCCCCCCCCTTTGCTATCCCCCCCTTTCGCCCGACCCGAGTCGGAAGCTGGGCGAGGGCTGCTAAAACCGTGGCTGCTAAAACGGCCCTCCAGGAAGGAAAAAGCAACTTCCCGGAATGAGGCGCGGCACGCGAAACAGTCAACGGGCTTCTTCCCGGAAGGACGAAGACAACCTCCCGGAGGTCGATTTTAGCAGCCACGGATTTAGCAGCCCTTGCCCGGCTTCCGAGTATGGTCCCCCGTTCGGTCTCCCGTATGAGTTTCCGCACGGCCTCCCGTACGGCCTCTCCCGTCCAGTTTCCCGGTTTCGTCTCCCGCAGGGGCTCCCGTATAGGGTATCCCGTATGGTCGCCCGCATGGTTTCCCGCGTGGTTTCCCGTACGGCCTCCCGTGCGGTCGCCCGTTCGATCTCCCGCATATGGTCGCCCATCCGATCTCCTGCATGACTTTCGTTGCTGTCGCCGGGGCGCAGTCCTCTGCCTGGTCGCGCCCGGGCAGAGGAGTGGTCGCTGCTATAGGGCGCGAAGAGCTGCCCTTCGTGGGGGCGTCGGCACGCGCCCGAGCTCCGTCTCGGCGGCGAGCGAGAAGGGGAAGTGAGACGGGGGAGGCCTTCTCAGGAGGAGGAGGAGGAGGAGGAGGAGGAGGAGGAGGAGGAGGAGGAGGAGGAGGAGCAGGAGGAGGAGGAGGAGGAGAAGGAGGAGCAGGAGGAGGAAGGAGGAGGAGGATGGAGGAGGAGGAGGGGGAGGACGGCGTGCCGTCGCGCTCGGGAGGGCGGGCCCTGGCTCGCCGCCGGGTATCATTCAGAGGCGGTGCATTGCCGCAGCGGGGGTGAACCGAGCCAGCCCCGTCAAACGGCGGAGGTCGCATCAGGTTGAACGGGGCGTCACTGAGGACATGTTGGGCACACTCAGCTTCTGTCGCATCTCGCGCTGTCGTTGCTGAGTGCGACGCTCTCTCTTCAGCAAAGTCAGGTTCATCGCGCAGGCAACTTCGCTCCATCCATGAATTTCATCAGTCAGCCTGCGCTCCAGGGAGACGTGGTGGTGTGTTTTCATCTGGACCACCAGATACGCTACCATACGAAGACCATGCTACGGGCATCCTCGTGATTATGCGTGCTCTCTGGGAAGCTCTCCAAGACAGTCCTGCTTGTGAAAAGGGCGCGCGTGCGTGCGAGGGAGAGGTATACTTGTGTACCTTTATGGTACCCTGCCATGCCAGCATTGTGGTTGTGTGGAATGTCGAGAGCGTGACCCCGAAGGCTTGACTCCTTGAGAACGGCGTGCCTCTCCAAGCAGCCCCGATAGTGCGGCAATGGCTCCTCGTACGTTTTCCCTCTTCCTTTTCGCTTCTCTTCTACTCCGCCGCTCCACCACGTCCGTCTCCTCATAACCTTTCTGTTTAATCGGGGTTGGACAGACCTCCTGCCCTGACACGTCGATTAGCGAATTGGCCGTTTTCGGTTCGCGAGAGGGCGTCGCGGCCGTCATTTATGCGGGTCCAGGTTTGTCGGTTTCGGCCCGAGGCCGTTTTCACTAAAGGGAGATTTGCTAAAGGGAGGTTTGTCCACCGCCGAAGCTTTCTGTTTAAGTATCTTCTTTCGTCGTTTTCCATCTCTTCCTACCTCCTCCTCAGTGGTCTTTCGCACCGAATTTTCCCAGGCGGTGCTCGATATCCTCCCTTTCGCAGTGGAGTATACCAGCCTGGACCTGGCGAAGCGCGCTTGGACGCGAAGGCAGGCTCGACACGGGGAGGGCGATTGGTGCACAGTCGTGCAGAGAATCGGTGCGCGGTCAGGAAACAAGACGCTGAAACATGGGCCACTGTGGACTCAGGAGGGGCTCTGGTTTGGAGGAGGAGGAGGAGGAGGAGGAGGAGGAGTCCAGGACGTGGACATGTTCGTGGCCGATGCTCACCGTGGCCAGAACCCCCCTGGTGCTCCTTCTTCGGTTGCCCCTCTGGCAGCGCGATGGTTGTCTCCCATGTTACGTTTCGACCCAGCGTCTCTTCAACAGTTTCCTGGCAGCTGGCCTATTTTTCAAAAACGCCCCGCGCAAGCACGAGACCATTCGTGCAATTCCGGCTCCGCTTCCGCGCAGGATTCTGCCAGGTGGCTGGACCACGCCCCCTGAACAGCTTGTCTGTAAGGGCCATCGGATCCCAAATCAGTGGCCCGTGGCCCGTGGGCTGCTGCATGGCCTCTCGTGTGGTCTCCCGCATGGTCTCACGCATGGTCCCAGGCATGGTCTCCAGCATTGTCTCCCGGTCTCGTGCATGGTCTCCCGTACGGTCTCCCGTATGGTCTCTTTTATGGTCTTCTTTGTGGTCTCCCCCAGGGTTTCCCGCAGGGTCTCGTGCATGGGTTCCCGTATTGTCTCCCCTATGGTCCCCCATAGGTGCAGTGCCTTCTACTGCACCCTGTATGGTCGTCCGTATAGTCTCCAGCATTGGATTCCTCATGACTTCCTGTATGGTCTGCCGTATGGTCTTCCATATGGTCTCGTGTATGGTCTCCCGTATGATTTCCCGTAGGGTTTCCCGCCTGATTTTCCGTATGGTCTCCTTCATTGTCGCCCGCATGGTCTCCCACATGGTCTCGCAGATGGCTTCGTGCATGGTGCATGGTTTCCCGTCGTGTGTCCCCGTGTGGTCTGCCATATGTGTTGTTGGCGCTAGCCCCGAGAAGCCGACGGACGAGATGACGATGATAATGACGATGAGGAAGGGGATCGGATGATTATGATGGGGGACCTCTGCACTGCGTGGAATGAGCACAAATTCTTTGAGGCCTTGCTAGCTGTACATATTACCGTCCCGAGGTCGGTCGCGCGTCCGCCTGACAATACGGAGCCCTTTGGAGGGCCCCGCGAGGTCCAATTCACGATGCCTCCAGCCCCACACCCTTCTCCCCCTGCCTCCACTTCTGCCTTTCCCCCACTCCTCCTCCTCCTCCTCCTCCTCCTCCTCCTCCTCCTCCTTCTCCTCCTCCCTCTCCTCCTCCTCTTCCACACGCCTCCTCCTCGTCCACCCTCCGCCTCGTCCACCTCCTCCTGTCCCCCCTCCTACTCGTCCTCATCGTCCTTCCCCATCCTCGTTCTGCTCGTCCTCCCCCCTACTCCTCTTCCATATCCTCTTCGTCCGCCTCCTCCTGCGCCATCCGGGCGCACTCTCTGGCCCCGTCCGTCCAGTGCTTGGTCGGGGCAGTGATCTCGCCAGCCGCCTGCTGGCGTTCCGTGCTGCTCGTGTGGGAGGCGGGAGGCTCCTAGCTTTCGTGCTCGCGCTTCATTCCCAACCATCCTGTGGTGTTGGGTCCTCGTTTTGAAGAGACAGCGCCCCGCGTTCCTTCCTTCCTCCTCCTCCTCCTTCTCCTCCTCCTCTTCCGTTGCCATTTTGGCTCAAGTGCCATCAGCGGCAGCGCGCGTCCGCGGGCACCTGGGCGGGCAGCCTCTCTTGAAGGGGCATTCTTGGGGTCAAGCCCAAGCGGACACCTTTTCTTTCTTCCAGGGGTTCTCCCTCATGGCACTGCTGCCATGGAGGATTCTGCAGTCGTCGCCCAGCTGACTGCAGTGATTCAGAACACGGTGAAGGGCTTGCAGACTCAGCTCGAGGCTCGGTTCCTGTCTGTGGAGACGAACGTGACCACCCTCACCCAGCACATGGGGAATGCCAAGGCCCACATCACCGCCATCAACAATCAGATGACGGAGGTCATGAAGATGCAGTCTCGACAAGAAGAAGAGCTGCGACAATTTCGAGCACGACCCGTGTCTTCGACTGCTTCCACATCCTCGGAGGGGCAGCAGTCCTGGGCGTCGAAGCTGGTCAATGACGAAGGCAACAAACGACGTCGGGGAGAAGATGACATTGGTGGCGATCCAACGACCAAATTTATTGGTCACTTCCCTCGCCCAGTCCTCGAGCGAGTGCGCAGGAGTCACTCTGACAGCCTGAAGGCGCAGTACCCTGACCTCCTGGCCAACGTGGAGGCCAAGTTCTTCGCCATAGCCCAGAGCTACTCTATCATCTTCCAGAACAAGGATGACGCCAGCCAATTCCAGAGGGAAGCCAATCGTGCTGGTGTAGTGTGGACTGATCCGAGGTCTCAGCTCCCACACCAGCTTCGAGTGCGCGCTGACCTTCCCCAGCCTGTTCGCAACAAGAAGCGTGCATTTCACAAACTTTGGCTCCCAGTTCGAGACCTGTTGCAGCAATCGTACATGTGGTCGCCAGATTGTCAACTCGGCATTGACGGCTTCCGCGGAGTGATGAGGGTGAAGAATGACCTGGACGTGTGGAACCTAATTGAGATCAAGCAGGTCCGCATTCGCAATGGTGAGGAGCAGTTCACATTCGAACCCAATTTCGAGGAGGTCGAGGAGTGGGGCATCACCAGGGGGACTATCATGGCCCTGATTGAGTCCCAGGCGCCAGCTGTCTCTGACAGTGCTCCTGATATGGAGTACTGACGCGCTCCCTCACAGTCAATTAGTATGTCTCAGCGTGCGGTGCCTTTGTACAGCTCTTCCTCTTCCTCCTCCTCCTCCTACTCTTCATCTGATTCAAGTTCCTCATCTGACTCTGACTCCTATTCCGAGACCAGCTCCAGCGTGAGTGCCGAGGCCGAGCGTGGTTGCTCTCCGTATGTCCCGAATCAGAAGTTCTCGATTGCGACGTGGAACGCACACACTGTATTTGGATCCGTGTGGGGTAGTCATGATATGCAAGTGCGCACATATAAGTGCGTGGGTGATCTAATGAGTGCACACGACATTGCATGCATACAGGAGACGCACGGCACGCCCAGTGACGTCACATCGCTCGAACGTGATTTTAAGGAACACCTCCACTTTGGCAGCTTCTGTCCAGACCAGCCTGGCGCTGGAGGTGTTGTCACCAGTGTGCGCAAGAGTCTTCGAGAGCAGTTCGAGGATGTAGCCTTCTCCGAGGTCGTGAAGGGGAGAATCACGTCCTGGGGATTGTATGGGCCCCAAGCTTCACTCCAGATTATCAATGTTCATTTTGTTCCTGGGCTCCCTCACGGTGTTCTTCTGGATCAGTTTCGGAGAGTGAAGCGTGCGATGTGGTCATCAGTGACCACCGCTATCTTTCTTCCCGGCGATTTCAATTTTCTCGAAGCAGGCGACACCAGGTACTCGATTCTGGAGGACATGGAGCGATATGCACCGCCTCGCTGTGCGCTGGAGTTTCGGAAGTGCTTCCCTTCCTTGCTCGAGGTCGTCCCGGCCACATTTCACCCACCGCGTGAAGACAGATGAAGTTTTTTCGCTGGCGCGCATAGACAGGATATACACTAGTTTACATACCGCAGATGTACTTGACTTGGCTCCTGAAAGTTCTACGTGTTGGCCTCCTACGGACCTCAAGAAGCCCTCAGATCATGCCCCTCTTTATCTTAAGCAACGTCGTCCTGATCATAGATCACGCTCGAACAATATCCCACCTTGGATAGCAAGGCACCCACGGTTTTACGCACATCTCTCTGCTCTTCTTCATCCTTCCGGCCTCTCTGCTGACCACAATGAACGTCTTCAGGAAATAAAACAAGGCATGAGACATGCTGCTGTTCAAGTTAGATTAGACGTGCTCTAGGATGGTGCTACCACCGACGAAGAGCGCTTGGCATGTGCGCTGAAGCTACTGCGAGTTGCCCGCTCTCTTCCACCCCAAGCCTGCCCTGATTCGTGTCCTGCTCTCCTTCGGCACCTCCTCGGTAAAGCTAAATCTGTACTTCGTGCTTATCCTGAACTATCGCAGTATTATTGTATCGTTCGGGGTGAATTGACAGACAGGATTGGGCTCTGTTCGCAAGTCAGTGAACTGACGCGCCGTGTGCTTGCTGCTGAGGAGCGTGGAGTCGCTGCTCGTGAATTAGCGCCATCTAAGAAAGGCCAGCATATTGCACGTATTCGCAGGCTTTCTCGTGCTTGGGCTAAGAATAAGCCGAAGATCTTCCTCGCCGCTGTTGTTGACGACGACGGGTCCGAGCTTAGTGAGGAGTCTGCCATGGGTCAGAAGCTGTCTGAGTATTGGGGAAGGTTTTCTCTCGGATCCCGTGTGATCTCCAGGGTGCCCCCAGGTTTCTGGACCTCATTCCGACCCTCCCCGACGACCCCTACCAGTTCAGCAACTCCACCCACCAGCGGTTCCCCTGGGTCCTGACCGAGGATCAATTTTTCGGCCTCCTCAAAAGCAAGGTCGACTCCAGTCCAGGACCCGATGGCATTCCGTACAGCGCTTGGCAGTGCCCGCGCCCGTTTCTCAAGCAGGCTCTCTGGGAGCACTATCTCGCCTTCATGAACACCCAAGTCCTTGCAAGCGATTTCAACTACTCGAAATTGGCATTCTTACCGAAAGGCGTGAGTGTTCCTGGAGCAGTGGCCAAGGCGCGTGGAGACACGCGACCGCTTGCCTTGAGCAACACTGACAATAAGATCGCCTCCTCCTGCATAGCATATCCTCTCATGCAAGCGGCCAAGGATAAACTGCACTATGTTCAACGTGGTTTTATTTCGGGTCGGTCCCTCGCTGACAATATAATCGAGTTCGACGGTCGATTGATGATGTGGCAAGCACTGGATAATTCGCAGGCTGCTGGAGGCGCCCTCTCTGACATGGAGAGCGCTTTCCCATCGGTGCACCACTTCTGGCTCTTTCTAGTACTGCAGCGCTGGCGCTTCCCGCCGTTCCTCATTAACTGTATAAGGTCTCTGTGCCAGCGAGTGTGGTGTAGTATTTCGACTCGCGGTTCTGACGTCGGAGGCTTTTGGGCCTCTCGAGGTGTTAAGCAAGGTGATCCTCTTAGTGGACTATGATTCGCGTTCGCCTTCGACCCCGTCCTTCGAGGCATTGCTGAATTAGGATATTTGCTTTCGGTGTATCCTACTGCATTCGCCGATGGTCTTGCCGTTGCAGCTGCTGATCTAGTCCGAGCGCTCCCTCGTGTCGTGGAAATCTTAATGGCAGCAACGCCGTGCTCTGGCCTCGCACTCAACTTTCCGAAGTGCGTGATCGTGATTCCGCGGCCTTTTGACCCGCAGCAGATCATCGCGCAGTGCTTGCAAGCTGGTGTTGATATTTCGGGGTGGAAGCTTAATCAATCTGGGATGTACCTTAGGGTGGAGGTGGGCTTGCATGCACCGGAGACTGCGTGGTCCCGTGCTCGACAAAAGCTTCGTGCGCGGGGTGCCGAAGTTAAAGCGCTGGGCACTGGTCTCACGGCTGCTTGTTCTGCGTGCAACATATTTGCTGGATCTGTTTGCTCACGCGTAGCCCAATTTCATATTGTCACGGGTGAAGCTTTAAGCCAAGAGCGAGAAGCACAGCAACTTCTTACTCGGGCTCCAAGGCACAGTATCCCCCCCAAGGTCCTCTTACAGGCCACCCGTCTTGGTTTGGAAATCGAGTGCCACTCCGTAGCGATCTCGGCCAAAGCTGCTATGATTCGTGCTGCTTCTCACTCTGACATGTTCCACAAACTGGTGAGTGACTGGAACACCAAAGTTGATGATGACGACTATTGTTTAACCTACAAGTGGCCCCGCGCGTTCTCCGACTCCATCTTTTTCCAGATGCATAGGACGCTAGAGGAGCACGAGGCCAAGTTCGGGGCCGTCGATATCTCCCACGGGAACCACACAGAAGAAAGTCACCCTGGATCTAAAATCGTATATGGTGGATTTTACTGTGGGTGAAGTTTGTCTCCTAGGATCTTGAAGATGCACCCAGAGGCCTCCAGGAATGACATCGACTTGTGCGTTATTCGTCTGGGATGTATAGGTGACAAGTTGCCGCCCTTTATCCACGCATCTGTATTGAAAACGGTCTGCAATGCATGGAACACTACACGGCGTTATCGGCAAAAAGTTGGTCCGTGTGTTTTCGGGTGCATGAATCTCGGTGCCGACTGTCGTGACCACTATGTACGTTGCCCTGTGATAGTTGAGTATGCACGTTCCATCCTTCGATATCTACCCGTGAGCTGGGGCAATGACTGGTTGCAGGTAGCCTTCCCCCACCTCTGGCAGGCACGCACGTCTGATAGCCTCATGTCGCACGCAGTTGCTCTAGATTGTATTCATTCTGCATTTTGTGTTTGTCGCACCCGTCGCCCGTCGTCGTTTTTCGCCCGCGGCGCCATTCTTGCCCGGCTTCGTGCTAGCGCACGTCGGTCATGGCAGGTGCGGGCCTTAGCCACTGGGCCGAGTGGGTAGGGATCGGGACTCACCCAGGGGTGCGCCTCCTTCTCCTTCTCCTCCTCCTCCTCCTCCTCCTCCTCCTCCTCCTCCTCCTCCCCCTCTTCCCTCCTCCCATCCCTGCATCGTCTCTGTTTCGGCACACCCCCCACACGCTTCGTGGCCCAATAGGAGCTCCACCGAAGGTCCCAGTGGTGCAGTTCGCATGTGGGCGTCGCGCCCGTTTCGGCATTCCCCACGCGTTTCGTGGCCCCATAGGGAGCTCCACCGAAGGTCTCCGCGGTGCAGTTCGCATGTGGGCGTCGCGCCCGTTTCGGCACACCCGTCACACGTTTCGCGGCCGCCATAGGGAGCTCCACCGAAGGTCCCAATGCTGCAGTTCGCATGTGGGCGTCACGCCCGTCTCGGCACACCCGTCACACGTTTCGTGGCCCCCATAGGGAGTTCCACCGAAGGTCCTAGTGGTGCAGTTCGCATGTGGGCGTCACGCCCGTTCCGGCACACCCCTCACACGCTTCGTGGCCATATAGGGAGAGCCCTACCGAAGGTCCCAGTGGGAGGGTTCACATGCACCCGCTCACCTCCCCAAATCGGCACGGACCTCACATGTTTTGTGGCGCCATAGGGATTTCCACCGACGACGATCCTCACAACTGCGGCACTCACAACGGGTTGCCCGCTGATTCAGCTCTATCCTCTTCCCCCGAATGTGACGCTGCTGTGTGCCTGCATGTGTGATGCTTTCTTGCATGCTCACCACTGTGTGAGGCTGAGCCTGCCTGGCACGGCCCAGCAAAGCTTTGAAGCTCGCCTCCGTCTTTTGACTCGGAGGCATGTGGCTGTTGCCGAGGCGTGGGTTGACCTCCGTGCAGGGCCTGGGTGGCTAGTCCCTGCAGGTGTGTCTTTGGGAGCCGAAACAGCTCTGTCTCACAGGGCCTAAGTAAGGAATATGTCATATTGTTTACACCCCTTGGGGCTTGCGCACACAGTGTGTGCAAACAGTGTCGGCAGAGGGCCGACGCCACTGTGCAATGAACTTCAGGGGCAGTGTCGTCTCTGAACGCTGGCCTTCGGCTCTGGCCGCTGTGCCACTGGGGAGGTGGCACGGCATTCATCATCTGATCGTGGCCCACGGACACAGTGCGGCCAAAACCCAAGCCCTCGCAGCACCCGGTTCCGGAGCTGTGGGGGTGGCGGTTGAGGCCTCGTGG